ACAGTTTTTACTTTAATCTGTTTTAAGCTTTATATAAAATAATCAAAAAGAAGATCTTTGGGCCTTGCTTCTTTCACCCAACATCATTTCAAGAACCATTCACATTAATGGCTGTAAACGTAATTTATTTCCTTTGATATACACTAATATTTATAAAAAAAAAAAAAAAAAAAAAAAAAAAATCCAAAAAACAGTTTACTTTAATCTGTTTTAAGCTTTATATAAAATAATCAAAAAGAAGATCTTTGGGCCTTGCTTCTTTCACCCAACATCATTTCAAGAACCATTCACATTAATGGCTGTAAACGTAATTTATTTCCTTTGCTATATACACTAATATTTATTTGTTCTTCTGTTTCTGAGTATCTTAGTCACTTTCTTGTTGGCTAAGCCACAATACCTGACACCTACAATTTGTTGTGGGGGGGTACCTGGGATCGAATTCAGGTCCTTGCACTTGCGAAGCAGGTGCTGGAACCACTGAGCTAAATCCCTGGCCCTTGACATCTACAGTTTAAAGGAGGAGAGATTTATTTTGGCTCACATTTTCAGTTCATAGTGTACAGACTACAAGGCAGAAAATGGCATGGAAGAGGGTCTTAGCGGAAGACAAGCTGCTCACATCATGGTGATCAGGAAGAAGAGAGATAAGGGGGAAACCTGGGAGAGAGATACCCTTTCACATCACATCCAAGTGACTCACGTCTTCTGACCAGACCCCACCTCCTAATAGGGAGTCAGCTACATCATCCCTATGATTCAATGACCTTTTGAAAACTCTACCTATGAGCACACCAGGGCTTGGGAGCATTCATATCTAAACCATAACACTGGGCACTTACGTTGTTTCTAGTTCAGAACACAGGCTATTCTGAACAATGCTGTTAAGATCGTGTGTGTGTGTGTGTGTGTGTGTGTGTGTGTGTGTGTGTGAGTATTGACACATGCCAGATTTTCTCTGGGTATGTACTTGGGAGTGCAATCAGTGGACATAGAACATGAACAAATACAACCCCTCTAGTTAATGTCAGGTTGTTTTTTAGGATGGGGCACACATTTGTCTGCTGTACGGATAGGAGGGTTGTGTTGATCAAGGCCTTTGGTGCTGGTCAGATGTCACTTTTTCCAGTTTGATGGCTGTGTAATTGTATCTTATTGTGGTTTAATTTGCATTTCTTTGATGAGAAATAGGTTTCTTGGTCTTTTGGATTTCCTTTATGAAAGAGGGTCTCTTCAGGGCTTCTGCTTTCTTCTTTATTTCCTTTCGATTCCCAGTTGTTCTTTATACATTCTAGATCCCAGTACTTTGTCAGTTTTATGTATTCTAATATTTCTCATTCTTTGGATTGTCTCTTCAGACTCTTAAACTGCCTTTGGAATAGACACTCTTGTTGTTATATATTCAAATTTATAAATCTTTCATTTATAATTAGTGGGTTTTGTGTCTGATTTAAGAAATCCTTCCCTACACACAAGGTTAGGAAGATGCTCTTCTATATTACCTTCTAAATCTTTGTAGAGCTTTGCCTTTCATGTATGCTTTCTTAATAAGCCTTAGTTGATTTTTGTGGGTAGCGTGAACTGAGTGTCTAACTCCATTTTTCTCCCTATGAATACTCAATTATCTTCACGCTATTTATGAAAGTCTATCTCTTTGCTCATTGATCTGAGCTATCATCTCTGCCATATATCAAATGTGCATAAAGGTCAGAATCTGTTCTTGGCCCCTCTACTCCAGTCTTTTGGTCTGTTTTTCAGTTCTAGTGCCCAAACCATACTGTCTTAATTACTGTAGCTTCATAATAAATATTTATAGCAGCTAGAGCAAGTCCTCCCACCTTATTTTTTTTAAGAGTAACTGCTCTTGGCCCTTGGCACTATCATATAAATTTTAGAGCCAGCTTGTCAAGTTCCACAAAAAAACCTATTGGGATTTTAATTGGGATTTTACTGAGTCTATAAATCAATTTGGAGAGAAATGACATTTTTACAATGTTGAGGCCTCTAATCTATGAAGTGGTGTATGTCTCCATTTATTTAGATCTTCTTTAATATGTTTCAATAAACTTTTATGATTTTCTCCATGAATATCATGAACTTATTTTGTTGGATTTATTCGTAGGTACTTCATTTTTTCTAATGGCATTGTGGTCAAAGTCTTTTTACAAGTTCGTTTTATAACTGTTGCTAATCAGAAATGAATTTAATTTTTTCTGTTGATTGTGTTAAAAAATTTTGGTAGGGGCAACCTATTCGGGACCCCTCCTGTCTCTCAGGAGCTATTCCTATTCCCCAATAAATTTTCTTACTCTTAAAAAAATGTTTTTGGTAGACTCTTGTATTAATTTTAGTAATTTAAATTTATTTTTCATTTTTTATAATGGGTCATCATGTTATCTGCTAGTGATAAAAGCAGGTTATTTATTTATCTCATTGTATTGCCTAAGATTCTAGTGGAATTTCAAATAAAATTAATCCTTACCCTTCACCTTATGATGAACTGAGGGGCAAGGAATTTATAGTATCAAGGCCATAAGTTAGGGACATAAGCACTATTTTAAAAGTTTCCCAGTAAATTGATCTATGAGTGGGAATAGGGTATATTTTCCAAAGTAAGAATTAAATACAAAGTAGATCTATGATTTAAATTGTTCAACCTTAGAAAGAACAGATATTATTCCTATTTTGCACACCTAAACTGAGGTGTGAATTTCTTTGCCTATTACTGCACAAATTTTTGGCAGCAAACCAGGGCAGCAACTTGTGTCCTTTGACTTGCAGCTCATCCTGGATGCTTTCTGCAGTGCCCCATGACCAGGCCAGTCAGGAGAAGCAGGAAGAGTCTAGGTTGCAGTAGCAAAGTTTTGGGATCATTCACAAAAATATCTCTTTTTGATTATCTATCCTTCAAATCTGTAGGTTGGCTTTTGAAGAGTCAATCATTGCAGTGATGCAGCCCAATATGCCTGCCCCATCTAACTTCCTGCTGGAAGCAGTGTTAATACCACACGCATCTCCTTTAACTGTCCTCCACCACCACTACTTAGGGGGCAGAGTCAGGGACTGACGGAAGCTTGGGAGCAGATGCCGCCACTCTGAATAGCAGAATGGAGGCACGTGGTGTGGAGAAGCAAAAGAAACAGCTGATTTGTAGACAAGTGGCTATCAGCCCTCCAAAGGATGAGAAAGAGGTAAATTACGCTGTTTAATGATTTTTAGGTTCACAAGGCCAAATTAGATACCTTGTAAATGGTTTTCATTATATTCTCTTGTTGATTTTCTTTTTCCATGAGATTCTTTGAGTTTCTGTACCTTGTAACCAAAGTGCTCTTGGTAAATCATCATCCACAGAGCACTGGAGACTCACTGCAGTAGCATTTGGTACAGTATGAGAACAGCTATTTAATTACCAGTGTATTAAACACCTACTAAAGGGAACAATACATGCGGTAGGGTAAGAACTGAAAACTGAGCCATAGACCTTGGTTTAAGGGGGCTAATGATTTAATTTCTCACCTATGTAATATTTAGTTTGGGAAGAGAAATTCACAGATAAAGTCAGGAGCAAATCTATAATAGCGCAATATCAAGCACCTAGTTGGGTGGAATGAGTTCTAAGAGCAATATGGGTTCAGAAATGGAAATGTAAGGAAGCAGAGGCATAAAGTTTACTTTGCAAGAACTCTCAGGATTAGAATCGACCAAAAGCATTAGGGAGAGTGGGGAGTTGAGCAGCGGTAGCAGAGGCTGAAGCTGCAGACGTATAGGACAGGGGTGCGGAGTGTCACAACATGAGGAGAGAGTTACAGGAGTGCTGGGTGGCCTAGACTTTACAGAAAGCCTTGGCCAGGTGTTAAAATGTACTCTTTCCAGGCTGCATCTGAGATTCCTTCTTTAGCCAACATTCCTTAGCCCTGAACGCATTTCCCCTGTTTTCTTTCTCCGGCGTGCTTGAATTTAAACCATTCTTTTGACTTGCTTTTCTGGGGGAAACTATAAGAGTGAGAGAAATGATGGTGTTGTTTAGACATGAACAGTTTCTCTGAACTTAGGGTTCTTCTGAGCTGATTTCCTTGGTGTGCTTGGGTGACTCCTCCTGGCTGCCGTGTTCTGTGCTTGACCTTTGCCCCTTGGCAGAACGCCACATACAGCTCATGCTTTGCCCCCTTCTAGGTTACCTTTTCCAAGAATCTCATCAATTCCTAAAATAGCCGGAACATTTGTGGCCTATTTCTGTTAGAATTTAGCCAAACATCTGTCTCTAAAGAGGAGGCTGACCTGATGGGGTGAAGTTTCCTAGGCCAAGGCTCAGGAAAACACTTTGGGAGGGCAATTCCTTGGCTTCTTCTTTGAGAGGGAAGTGAACAGTGGAGCTGGTGGCATACGAGCGAGCTGGGGGAATGGAATCTGGCTTCACCGCCAACAACACCTATTTAAGACATTTTAACCCTCAAGGGTTATCTAGAAAAATACTACAATTTGAGGTCCAGATACTTTGAAGGAAACCAGAGTTTTAGGCACCTTCTGACAAATCTTTTTAAGACATTCTTCCCTGGTAAGTTGGTTCTGTTTCCTGTCAGCGTGAGTCATAGATTTCAAGGTCTGTTCGGGTTTGTGTCTAGCTGTCATTAGTTGTCATTATTTGACAGCTTTTTTGGCTTCACCTGTTTATTTAACCTGTTTACTCAACTAGGATAAGGACTAATGTTGCTTTAGCTATTTTATATCCATTATCTTATTTGGTCACGCATTAGGGAAACCTGGGGGCCTGAGTGCTGTCCTGAGACTGCATTGATTGTTACGGTGACTCAGGGAGCTGTTTAACCTCACTGAGCCACTCAAGAACCCGAGAGTCTAATATTTATTTGGAATGTTATGCATATGCATGAGGTAAAGACCTCCCAATATGTTAAGAACTGGGTGAGGATTTCGGGGGGATGTTATATGAATCCAGTTTTTGAACAAAAATAATTTCCTCCCCAAAGTATTTCTTTTTTTTGACAAAATAATATCATTTATTTTAAAATAAACATGAAGCTACTGAACTTGAAATACTTTTAGTCTAATAATTTAATAAATTATTTAAATTTTCACAGTAGATTGAGGGGTATTATAGTACCAGACAATACCACATTATCTATATAGCAGTGTTTCTGGATCAGGGATCTGTACACTATGTAGATCTTTTTTCTTCTTCTAGACTTTAAAATAGCCCACTAAAACATACCTCCATCCTGAATGGGGAATGGAAGAAAGCTGTTTTAAAAACGGATTGTGAGCTGTGAAGAGTGCGGTGGTCTGTCTTTGGGTATCTCTGGCACAACCTGTGGGAAGACAATGTAAATTCAGTTCTGTCTGCTGCAGTATGACATTTCATATTCCCTTCCTTACTCCAGTCGGGTGGGGTGGAGGGAGTCCTCCTGAGTGACAATGGCTCTGGCCCCCCATCTACCAGCTCCTCTCTGTGAGTCCTTCAAGGGAGATCATCGCCACTGGCTACCTGGACCAGAACTTGCAAGAGCTGAGAAGTGGCTGCAGAAGGAGCCAGGGACCTCTGAACTGTCCCCAGTGGTGACCTGTGTATGTGATCTTGACGGGAATAGGTAGAGCAATTGTTGTCTGCTACTTGGTTTTCTGAGGACACTTAAGTGGCAGTTGGTTTTTCTGAGCCAAGAAGAGTCCTTGGAATCCAAATTGAAAAAGCGATGGAAACAGAAACATAGAGACCAAAGAAAGAGCCAAATGGAGAATGAGCTAATGAGTGAGAAAAAAATGAGGTATAGTTTATTAATATGTACAATCTTTATGTTTTTATGTATCTAAGATACATTTAAATATACTATATGTATTTATGAAAAGACTAGAAAAAGAAAGGTAAGACCTATAATATACAATGTGTTGCAGCATCTAAATTAAGAGGGAACACTATAGGAAAAAGCGGATTTGAAAAAGCGGATGTGGAAGAAAAGTGAAAGTCGTGAAAACTAACGCTAAATCATAAAGTGGAGAAAGACGAGAAAAATGTTTTCAAAATTAAAAACCATAGGAACATAAAACAAATGAAAAAGTACAGATGAACACATAAGAAGTTGCAGACAGCCTGGTTGAATCCTAGGTTGAACAGTATTAATGGGTAGCACGTGATTTGGGGTAGATTATATGAGGTTCTGATCAGGTTCAATGTTTCTGTATACCTAAACATATATTATTTTTTTATGGTAAAAGCATTCAGAATCCTCTTTTTAGCTTGAGAAGTATTACATATTTATCTAATTGTTATCCATAGTCATCCTACCCAGGAATGGAATTGCTGTATTACATGATAGCTCTATTTTTAATTTTTTGAGGAACCTCCACACTGTTTTCCATGGCGGTTGTACTAGTTTACATTCTCACCCACAATGTGTTAGGGTCCCCACATGCATATTCTTGCCGGCATTTTTTGTCTTTTGTCTTTCTGCTAAGAGTTACTCTTACTGGAGTGAGGTGATATCTCATTGTTTGATTTTGATTTTCCTGATGATTAATGATGTTGACATTTTTTCATATACCTTTTGGCTATTCTTTTGACAAAGTCTATTTAGGTCTCTTGCCCATTTTAAAAATTGCAGGCCAGGGATGTAACTGAGCTGTACTGTGCCTGCCTGGCAAATGTAAGGTCCTGAGTTTGATTCCCCTACTGAAAAACTTTGGATTATTATTATTATTATTATTATTATTTTGGTACCCGGATCAAACTTGGGACCTTCCACTTATGAGGCAGGTGGCAGCACCACTGAGCTAGATCCCTGGACTGGATTATTTGGTTTTTTTCTTTTAACTTTGTTTCAGTCAGTTCCTTACATATTCTGGATATTAATGCAAATATTTCTGCCCATCCTATAGCTTATATCTTCACTCTGATGATTGTTTCATTTGCTGTGGAGAGCTTTTAGTTTGATGCAATTCCATTTGTCTATTTTGGGTATAGTAAATCAGAAATGGATTCTGATTTTCTGGCAAAACTATCTCCCCCAAGGAACAAACATTGACACTTTTTGGCTCATAGTTAAAGAAACTAGCATTAATTAATTACTGACTAATTAAGTTAAAAACAAACCTTTGTTGAGTAACTATGGTGTGCTCAACACATCAACAGGATATTAGCTCCTAAGCCAGAACACTGAACAGGTAGAAGAAGGACCTTCTTCCCTAGAATTCACATCAGGGGAGGGAGGCAAATGCCAGGTCACTTAGGAACTTTATGGGCTGGGTATGGGGATGCACACCTATAATCCCAGCACTCAGGAAGCTGAGGCAGGAGGATTGCTACAAGTTTGAGGCCTGCCTGGGGTATATGGCGAATTCGAGGCCACCCTAAACATAACAGCAAGACCCTGTCTCGAAAAAAAAAAAAAAAAGTGAGTCTCAAATGTAATGAGACCAGTTGTATTCCAGATACAACCAGGAGACTAATGAGATCCAATTTGCATTTAAAAAGATCTTTCTGGCTGCTGTGCAGACAATAGATTGAAGAGATGTAGAGGGAAACAAGAGATACAGAAAGGAGACCATTTAAATCCAGGAGAGAGAGATGCTGGCTGTCTTGAACTATGGTGATAGAAAGAGATTGTTTTAAGATCAATTGTAAGTTGGAATAAATAATAATTGTAGTCATTAGTTTGGGGAAGTGAGAACAACGAAGAGTCAAAGATGAACCCTTATTCTAGAACTTGGACAGCATGGAAAAATAGGTAATCATCTTGAATCCCAGGGATCAATATAAAATCATGGAGATTTATCACACTCGAGGAATATGCCTGCTTAGATTCTCTTTTGGAGTGATGGTCAGTTCCTTTCTGTATAATTGTACTGTATAACTGTATTGGTCAGTTTTGCTTATTTCTGGAAGCCAATTTCCCATCTAAAACTGATTCTAAAGGCTGCCTCTGTTCATTGGTCTGTTTTTTTTTTAATAGTCTGCTGACCTCTGGCAGGTTTTTCCTCTTCAGGTTATTAGAAGTATTCTAAAGTTTATACTTGGGTTTTTTTTTTCTTTTTTTTTTTTTTTGCACCAGGGATTAAATTTGGGACCTGCACTTGCTAGACAGGTGACAGAACCACTGAGCTATACCCCCAGCATACTCGTTTTCTTATGTATTTTTGATACACTTCTTATTGGTATCAAGTATGGATTGTCAGAAGTTATCAGGGTGACTTACTGTTGGTGCAATTCTTTATATAATAGCTGTACGAATAAGATAGGTCTTTTTCCCCCATTCCAGTGAATATTGCTATCATTCAGAGTTGTGTAACTTTCACTGAGTTTACACTGGTCTCATCCTTATTTCCAGGTATTGTAATTCTTGAAATCAGGTACTATAAATCTTCCAACTTTGTTCTTTTCCAAGATTATTTCAGCACTTCCAGTACCATTATATCTTTATGTAAATTTTAAAGCAACCTAACCAATCATCGGAAAAAGCCTACTGAGACTTTGATTGAGATTTCTTGGAATTTACAGATTAATTTAACAGAATGGACATGATGAATTTCCAGTCAATGAACATGGTTGATCTTTTTATTTGTGTATAACTGCTTTTATTTCTCTCAGAAATGTTTTGTAGTTCCTATATTTTGTATATATTTTGTCAAATTTTCCTTGTTTTTAATGCTATTATTTTTTAAATTTTCATTTTAATCTTTAGTTTTATTTTCATTTCAATGCTAGTATATTAGAAATACAATTGATTTTTATGTTTTTGCCTTGGGTCCTATGACCTTGATGACTTCATTAATTCATTTAGTAGTTTTTTAATTGTTTTTTGGTGTGTAATTCCATAGGGTTTTCTATGTACACTATTTTCTACAAACAAAAATAGATTTTTAAATTGATTCCAACTTTATATCTTGTATTTTAAAAACTTTATTTACATTTGCTAAGACTTCCACTACAATGTTAAATAAAAATGATGAGAACAGACATTTATACTTAATCCACATCTTAGGGGACATTTTTTTTCAATGATTGATTCATCATTAAGCATATTAATTACAGGTTTTTCATAGATGTTCATTATCACACTAAGCTCCTCCGTATTTTTACCTTTTTGGAAGTTTTAAATCAAATGTTCAATTTTTTCCAGTTTTTTTTTTTTTTTTTTTTTTTTTGCTTTATTGAGATGCTCATGTGATTTTACTTCTCTTTTTGGAAAATGTAAATTACATCAGATGATTTTTAATGTTAAACCAAGCTGGCATAAACCCCTTGAGTTAGCAAGTGTCATCTTTTTTTATATATTTCTGGATGTGATTTGCCAATAAGCTTTTAAGAAATTTTGTTCTGAGTCAGACATGGTGGCACATGGCTGTAATTCCAGCATTTGGGAGGCTGAGGCACGAGGAACACTGAGGCAGTAGTTCACAGTCAGCCTAGTGAGTTTGAGACCAGCCCAAACTACATAGTGAGAACCCGTCTCAAAAAAAAGTTATTATTCTATATTTATGAGGGCTATTGAACTATAATCTTCTTGTAATGTGTGTCCTCAATGATAAGATCAGCATCCAGGTGTTGGAGTTGAGAGTGTTTTCTCTGTTTTCTGAATGTTAATGTGGCATTAATCTTACTTTCTTCTTAAATGATTAATAGAATTCACCATGAAGCCATCTGGATGTGAAGGTTTTTCAGTGTGTGGCAATAATGTCTTTTATTCAGAATAGTTTCTCTCTACTGACTGCTTGTTTATTTCAGTTTCTGTTTTGAGACAGGGTATTGCTATATTGCCAAGGCTGGCCTCAAACTTGCAATCCTCCTGTCTCAGTTGCCAAGTGGCTGGGATTATGGGTGCACACCACGATTGGTTTTATCTGTTTTAATAAGCAGCATTTTTCTAGGAGTTTGTGCTTTTCATCTTGGATGTCAACTTCATTAGCATAACCATGTTTTGTTTTATTCATTTACATTATCTTTTTTGGGGGAGGGAAGATATGTACATTTTGAAAGTGTTACATTCAACAGCTGTTCCACAATCTGGCCATTTTTAGGGCTGTCCAACAATACTGTTAATCCAGGTGAACCATTTATCCAGATTTAATAGTCGATTAATAATAGATTCCAAGTCATTTACATTATCTTTTTTCTTAGCCTTTTATATCTGTTGGACTTACAGTAATTTCCTTTTTGATTCTTGATCTTGATAATGCAAAAACAAACTAATCTGTTAAAAGTACCAGATTTTAACTTTGTTGATTATGGTATGGTCTGTCCATTTTCTGTTGTATTGCTTTCTGCTCTTATTTTTTCTTCCACTTATTTTAACTTTAATGATTTTTCTGGTTTCTTTTAAATTATTTTTCTAACTTTATAAAATTTTTATTGTGTTTAGCTGCTAGCCTCTTAAGAAGCAATGTTATGCCATTGATTTCATGTATATATGTTTTTCTTAATGTAGCCATTTAAAGTTACAAATTCCCTTCAGGACTGTTTTAGCTGCATGCCAGTGATTTTTGGTTACATTGTATTTTATTATTATCTGATCTAGAATGTTTTCCAATTTCTTTTGTGATTTCATTTTTGATCACGAAATGCTGCTTTCTACATTGAAAAGTGTATATTTTCCATTTG